ACAGTGTTCATTGCTCCCTACTCCCTGAGCAGGGGAAATCCGTTGAAGTTTACTTCACTTCGGAACATGGGCTGGAATTGGGAACCGCTGATGTAGCCTATTGTAGTAATGTTGTCTCTGATATTCTGGTCTGTGAGCGTAAATGCGTTCAGGAGGCGTGGCTTTGGACGGCGATTGCAGGGAGGGTGGGACTTTCGCTTTCAGTGCTATCAGGCTAAAGGTAGCATTTTCCAAGCTCTCCTACTGCACCTTTAAAGCGTTAATGCAAAGATAAGGAACTGAATTCAGTTGTATGAAGTAGCCAATTTGAATGTCTTATGATCAAAAATAATAACTTGCTAATGATCTGTTCACTTCACAGGTGGAGAATGAGGAGACATTACACGGGTGTACACAGGAATCCAGTGTACACACAGACTAAAATTGTATTTGGCCTAATACATGTTTAATGTTTCTTGTGAAATGTTCATGCATATTTTAATATTTAAATAAGTGTCAATGTTTTATACGTCAATTTTACATTAATTGTAAGTTTAACTTGTAGCTTTTTGTTATTTAGAAACATTTGCTTACAACTTAGTTTCCTAAGTTAGTATGTAACTTCAATTCAGAACCTTTTAGACTATTAAAAATTAATGTTCCGATTGTTAATGTTCAATATTAATGGCTATATTTTGAGTGAAAATAAAGTTTGAAGAATGTTGTAACAAACGGTTTTGTAACCTTTTATTAATGTTCTAAACACGGTTAATTAACTGGATATTTTACATTTCTTAGAATATTAAAAATAAGTGTTCAAAGAACGTTGTTTTTTGGGTGAAAATAAAGTTAGGAGAATGTTGTAAGAAGTGTATTTGTAACCTATAAATAACGTTTTAATAACGTCAGAAACTGGACAGAATAACATTTTTATAATATTAAAAACAAATGTTTATAGAATGTTATATTTTGGTTGGAAATAAAGTTAGTCAAATGTTATACAAAACGTTTTGGTAACCTTTAAATAACGTTGTTATAACAACAAGAAAACTGGACATTTTAACGTTCTTAGAATATTAAAAACAAATGTTTAAAGAACGTTATATTTTGGTAGGAAATGAAGTTAGTCAAAAGTTATACAAAACGTTTTGCAATTGTTAGCTGGATATTTGCATTAAGTAATTAGCAGAATATCCTGCTATTTTAACATGGTATAAATATAATCTATAGCTATTTGCACTTAGTGTAAATAGCATATGATATCAACATACTGCTATTTTCACTTAGTGTAAATAGCTTCTATCGCTAAGAAAAACTGCGTCCCCTCCCCACAACATCTTCCCACGCCCCTGTGAGAAATGTTCCATTTAATAATAAGAGATAGGTCTTGATATCGTGGAAATCTTGGCTAATATGAGCAAAATTCACTTTGTAGAGGTCCCTTCTGAAAATCAACATAGGCTCATTGGAAAAAACATTTTTGCAAACTCCAAAAATTTACCTACAGTATACTAATAAAATCCTAGTGATAGTTTCAGAAGTACAATTTACTTGCTCTGTGGACTTTTTTTAAATAATAAAAACAGGAATGGCTACTTATAATTGCTAGCCGGTAACAGGTGTCAGAGATGGGGCGAAAGGGCATAATCCCCTCCCCCGCCATCCCCCAGTTCAGTTCTGTGAGTGTGACAGCAGATGAAAAATGGCAGCATATTCTGATGTTCTCTAAGGAATTCCCTGACATAAAGAGCAAGGCAGGGATTAGGAGCATTTGGCTGATCTTCAGGGAGTCAGTGACGGCAGCAGTCTGATTTATTGTGTTAAAAGCCGAGGCGGCAGACCAGAACGCTGCATGTTCAATGACTCTGGAGGTTGTTAATGGTACGCTGTGTTCTCATCCGCACACCGGGCCACCGACTGAGTCACTGCTGATGGACAGAGAGTGCTGTGGCATCAAATGACTGAAGCAGACTGAGAATGGCCATCATGTTGATAGAAAAACAGCAGTGGGCAAGCTGCCTGCATTCATAAGGATTTGCATCCCACAAGGGCAGATGGGAGGTTAGAGGTCTTCTGGGAAAACACTCTAATAGCTTGAGGAGCAGTGTGTGTGTGTACCTGATTCAGCACATGTTTTATGTTGGTATGTCACAATTCCTCAAGGATAAAAACATGTGAAATGCACTCATTTTTATTATTTATTTAAACAAGACCTATCTACCTGTTTGTCTTGGGTAATTTTTTGACGGCAAACAAACAGATCCACTTTGCATCCAACCAACCGAACAACCTCAGTTGGCTTTGTTTTTAAATGTTAGGTTTAGTGCTGAGTTGAACTGAAACAGTTGATACCACTATAGACCATTATTAGACTGGTGTGGAAAAATGTACAGAATTGTCAGCCAGTGATCAAGAAAACTCCAAATAAATCAGCAGAACCTGTATTCACATGAATAAATATGGCCTTTCTTTTATAAGTCTAGTTTAAAGTATATCAAGTTTATAGAAATTTACTTTTGCATTATTCCAATTAAATCATTCTGAAAAAGTCATGTGTTGTAATCTTCAAAGAAGAAGGAAAAACAAATTTTCCTTACACCCATGATTATATGTGAGACTATGAAAATTATTAATTTATAAATATCCTATTTTTGGTGAGTTTCACCAAATGACATTACAACCCTAACTAACTTTGCCTTGGCTTGGCATAAAAAGGTATGTATACTGACCTTCACACATAGTCATGAGTGTCTGCAGGAATCCCCAAATTATTGCAGTTCCTTCAAATATTATTTTTCATTTCACATTCTTTTTATATGTTGTTTAAAATAAATAAAAACATATATAAATATTGTTGACCCTTTTCACTCAAACCTCTGAATTACGTGCCCAGTTTCTAATCCACTCTCTCTCTTCTCTTTTTTTTTCTATTCCAGTTTGCATTATGTTCTTACCGATCACTTTCATATTTTCTGCTCCACGAAGTGTGTTTCTACATACTATCCTTTCCCTTGCACGTCTTTTGTACTGAGTATCTATGGCCTGTCATTTCTACTACATGTCTTTTTCCACATCTTGCACAACATATTTAATAGATACAGTTTGTCCTGTTTAATGGTATTACCTGTGATATTTTATATACCTTTCCTGTTTCCTTATATACCTTCTTCTACATACTTTTTTTTTTGGTTCAGGGGTCCCATCTTTCTGTGTACCAATATGTCCTTCAATTTTTCACCCCTTTTAAAAGCTAATGCCATTCTCTAATGTTGTCCCTGTTTATGTCATTGAGTCCACTTCTTACCTGCTAAAGTTTTAGTTGTTTTAGAGTACTTCATATGTAGCGACAATACTTTCTTTTTCTAGAAGAATATTTTCCCTATTCTTCCTCATCATGTCACAGTCTTAACTTACTGACCTCAAGAAGTGTCTTGAGTATCCTCTCCTTCTTATTACTTGAAACATATTTTTTACCACCTCAATTCTGTCCACTTCCTTGAACAGATCCTTTTAAATCTCTGCAGTTGGGCCTTCACTATACCTCATTATACCCCCATTGTAATCCAAACCAGAGCTTGTCATAAAAGGCATGTTATCCAGATCCTCCTCTTCATGCTCAAAAAAGACAGCTTCATTCTCCTGTGATACTCCATTAATCCTGCTTCCTCATCTACTCTATTTTTCTTGTTCACTATTTACCCTCAGAACAAATTAAAGACCACATTGCAAAAGTTTCATGTCATCTTTACTGAAGTCTACTAGTTTGGCAAGGTTCACATCAGTCCTGTTATGTATTTGGTTAGGATGCCCCTCTATTACAAGTTTAAATGCTGTGACCAGTGTTTCTCCTGGTCTAGCCAAGTTATCCATCTTCTGTCTGGAGGCCCTGATTATTTCATTCACTTCTCTTAAAGGGGTCATATGATGTTGCTAAAAATATCATTATTTTGTGTATTTGGTGTAAGGAAATGTGTTTATGCGGTTAGGTGGGCTTGAGAACGACGCGGCCGGCGGACCACATGTGACGACCCCGGGCTGGACTCCGCTTCGTCCACGGTGAAAGCCAATCCGGTGATCCACTCTTAACTTTTATAAAGAATATCTCTTTGGATTTGAGACTTTGAGATTTGAGACAGATCTTCTTTATGCACCAAGAGCTTGTAACACTCCAAAGAGAAAGGAAAAATTGAAATTGCATCATATGACCCCTTTAATACCCCCTTTTCCTCCCCATTTTCTAGTAATTTGTCTTTGAAGTTAATTATCGGAATGTAATCTCTTATCACTTCCTCCTCCCCCTCTTCTTCATCCTTTTGTCCCCACAGTGAATTTTTTCCCCCACAATTACATAGAGCAACACAAATCACTCAAGATTTGTGGGATATTTTAGTTTTAGCTCCAGTAATATTGAAAGATGTACTTAATAAAAATGACTCCTGGCTATATAACGTTTTAAAAATGATTTTAAAGTCAAAGTTGGTGTTGCAAAAACATGGTATTGAGCCAACATCCACTTAACATCCACTTATTACAATCCAATTGTGACATCCCAGCCTAGGCTGCATGTGTGGTTTTTGAGTGTTCAGAGGTGTCTGGAGGGGTGTGGTTGACACACCTGACACTTCTTGGACGCAAAGTTAAATGTCGCTGGAACCGTTCGTGTGTGTGGAGTGTTGTTTGGGCGATCGCTTCCAGCATTGAGTTTGATGGTCTATGCTATGCTGGAGGTCCTGCCCAGCCCTGACACGTTTCTTTGTTTATATTATTTTTTTATTGTTGTTATTGGATGTCTTGTTAAGAATTGACATGTCTGTGTGACGGGTAGAGGAAATAATTCTGCTGTATGGGCAAAAAAAATAAATAAATAAATAAGTGGTGGGGTAACATTTTTTTCTCTTTACTTTTTACCCATACACACGTTTTCTTATCACTCACAGCTTGGTGTGTGATTTGGTTTGTGCCGGCACAGATTTCCCTAGGTCTGGAGCCGGTAACATCTGCTCTTCCTTTTTGTTTCAAGTACAGCTTGTACAATTTTAACAAATGGTCTGCACGTCTTCCAATTACAATTTGAGCTCACTTACAGAAAATTGCACCATCCAAATGCTTCCATTAAAAGAGATTTACATGTGAATTAGCTGAAGAAAGATAAAGGTATGCTTGAACTAATTCGTGTTTACATCAGATGTAAAGAATTCAGTTCAGTCAGTAATTTGTGTCTCACTGATGGACTCTACTGGGGACTTTTCAGATTGTTTTCCAGGAGACCAGAGAACTGAAATCTCTATCATTCCTACCAGGGATTTTCAGCCCCTCAAATATGACACCAGATCCTGTGGAATAAGATGACAGTTAGAATCTAAGCCACGCCAAGTAAGAAATTCTCTCTGAATTGAGAGAACATTACAACAGTGCTCTTATATGCCTGACTAGGATGTATTTGTACTCCTCCAGCTCTCCTAAGTGACCGATATGAAAACTCTGCCCATCTGTCTCCAGCCATTGAGTTTATTTGAAAGGACTGTAGAGCAATACATAAATAAAAGCCGACCGCAGAGTGCCTGACTGATTTCATGGCTGCCAGTGTTTCTGACAAGTGTGAATGTACTTGAGACAGGAAGCTTTGAAACTCATGGAGACCATCTGTGCAATGAATGCACCACTCTTCCCAAGTACAAACAACATACAGCCAATACATATTCAGCAGTGTGCCGCAAAGACATTTCCATGTGACACTGAACTTGTACCATCACAATGATCATTTGCTGTTGTACCTTGAGCTTAAAGCTCTGAGTCCCTGTCAGTATGTGATTCCAACTGAGTTAGAAAAGCAAACTAAAATCACTCAGTCCCCTCAGCCAGTAATCAGTATCAATTTATTCACTGTCATGAAGAAATTGCACTAATTTGGTTCAGTCTCCAACTGTGCTGGTAATTTAGCAAGGGTGTGCCATTAAAGTTTTAAGTTGCGTTTTAAGCCGTTAAATGCCGTTGCGTGCCATTATCTTCTTGCATATACATTAACCAAGTGGAAAAGTGGATTACACAGGATAATATTTTAATTGTTTGTTTTTTTTTGTCTCTCAGTCTCTTTTTATACGTCTGTTGACTTAATAAATGCAGCATGTCTGCACGTCATTGTCCATATCATTGTCCATTGACCAGCGGTGGCCTGATGTTGCTTGTGCACTTGGTGGTAATAAAACTGTAATGTTCACAATCAGAAGAAGCAGAAACAACAAACCAACTCGGACACTGTGTTACATTACGAAACCTTTTGCGTGCATCATTTTACAGTCTGGAACAACATACAGTAAAATGCCACAATTTACAAATTTGTTGTTACTTTGCTCCTGATGCACTGTGCTATTTGCATTAAATTTACATATTAGCATCAGAAAGCCACTTTGTATAAGCCGTTAAATGCCGTTGCGTGCCATTTTCTTCTTGCATATACATTAACCAAGTGGAAAAGTGGATTACACAGGATAATATTTTAATTGTTTTTTTTGTTTTGTCTCTCAGTCTCTTTTTATACGTCTGTTGACTTAATAAATGCAGCATGTCTGCACGTCATTGTCCATATCATTGTCCATTGACCAGCGGTGGCCTGATGTTGCTTGTGCACTTGGTGGTAATAAAACTGTAATGTTCACAATCAGAAGAAGCAGAAACAACAAACCAACTCGGACACTGTGTTACATTACGAAACCTTTTGCGTGCATCATTTTACAGTCTGGAACAACATACAGTAAAATGCCACAATTTACAAATTTGTTGTTACTTTGCTCCTGATGCACTGTGCTATTTGCATTAAATTTACATATTAGCATCAGAAAGCCACTTTGTATTCCAGGCACACTCACAGTCAACAAGGCCTATAAGAAACAGCACGGCAGCTCAGCTCTGTCCACTTTAAAATGAACAATAAAATGAACCAGTACATGTAAAAAAATTAAATTAAAAATAAAAATGTACTGACCCCTCACATCACTTCAAACATATGTTTTATTTTATTTTATTTTTTTCTCACAACTCTTTTCCATACAACAGCAGTTCAATATATTAGATAGTGTGTGCAGGTACATTCACTTATTTTCTGAAGTGCTGACTCTCCAACAGCAAGGCAGCTTCGGTATATGAGATACAGGTCAAAAAACAATGCCTCCTTTACACTATGAGTGGGTCACTGGTTCAAGCATGATAAAATAACTGACTGTCATTGAAATATTTCATGGCCATTTATTCATTTTATAAGCAGCCGTGTAATGAGCAGGATAATGTACATTCAGTAGGTCATTGCCGGCCAGTGTGTGCAGGTCAGCTGGGTTCAACAGAAACTACACACTCCGGCCTCAAAGTAAAACCTGCCAACAGTGATCCAGACAGACAAAGCACAAAGGTTCACAGCTCTGTCAGCTGACATACGCTCATCTGGGCACACCGGCTAGAAGAATTCAAGGGTGTTTGTATTAGCTGGCTGACACTTCTTTGCTGCTTCAGATGAGTAGGAGTTACAGATGAGAAACAGCACTGGCACAGCTTTTGCCATCCTGCTGGAGATTAGCAGATCCCTCTCAAATCACCCACCAAGTCTGATTTACAGGGTGTAATTTGAACCCTATGTATTTGTGTCATATAATTTTATTCCCTCTCTCAGCAGGGAAATTGATTTGCAGCATACATGGAGGAAAAAGACACTTGGAAATGACATCATTACTGACTGCACACATCAACTCGTTCAGTCATATAATTGACCACAGCACATAATGTCATCTGACCACCCTATAGCCAGTGTTGCCAAGTTGCAGAATTCAGCTACTTTTACACTGTTAATGCAGGTAATTTTTTAAGCCTGTGGGTTTTGACACTTATGGTTGCTGCTGAGGATGGAGATGAAGATTGCTGAATGCAGGCTTAGTCTCAGCCTCAGACTTCACACCCACGGACTGTTGGCTGAACGTCTGATGCATACGGCACACACGATTGGAAACACTTCAGGAATTTCGAAGTCGTCATCTGATTGGTTGAATTATACAAGATTTCTGGGAGACGTTCATTAACGTTCGGCCTGGAAACAAATATGCCGTGATGCCAAACCCCCTCATGTTAGAAGCGGCCAAGGTTCCCAGACCTTCTGCCGTCAGTCTGAAGGTCTGGCTATGCGAGACCAAGGCTTACAACACATGAATAAAAATCCAACGAAATTATTTTTTTAACATTTAAAGTTTTGTTTAAACTAATGTAATCTTTAGAAATGAGTTGGCAGCAGAAATCACACAGAACAGAACGAAATGTTACAGTTTCATGTTAAGTAAATGAGTAAACTGTGTAATTAATAAATACCATTGAAAAATAATGCCAATGATATTACAACAGTTGTTCTCAGCAGTGTTGGGGGTAACGCATTACAAGTAACACATTATGTAATCAGATTACTTTTTTCTAGTACAGTAGCTAGTACAGTAATGCATTACTTTTTAATTTAATGGGTGAGCCTTACCGGCCGGTGAAGGAGGAGCAGCGTGATTGTAGCCTGACCAGGAGGGCCCGAGTTGCCTTTGCCGGGAGCAGTTCGTGGCGTCAGTGGCTCTACTGGCCGGCAAGCCCCTGCTGATCGATAGACAGGGGGCGAGTGACTGACCGAGAGGGCCCAGGAAGCTTCCGACTGGAGATCAAGACTCAGGACTTCGGACGAGTGGGTCCTATCGGCTTGGCAAGGTAAAAAAATGTTGGCCTGGCTGGGAGGCTCTCACGGCATCTGACTAGAGATTAATACTCACGGCATCGGATGGGTAAGCATCGCCGACCATAGGATGGAAAGGTAAGATTGCCGGGCCGGGAGGCTTTTGCAGCATCTGACGGGAGATCAATACACACGGCATCAGACGGGTAAGCCTCACCGGCAGTCAGATGGAATTTAGGCATGGATTTAAGATGTGGATATGGAATACTACTGCGGTAGTGATTGCATTAAAATATTTATTGACCAATGAGGGTTTGGTGGGCTTCTTTGATGTGAAACTGGTTAGTTCTGATGTAGCTTTGGAAAGCTTCTGAAGACCATCTTCCTAGAGCTTGGATCTGCTGCTTGGAGAGGTCTTTTTGGGCTGCTGACATTGCTGCCCCGATGCGAAAAGAGTGGCAAGAGAAATTTTTTGCTGGAATGCCCGACTGTTGCAGGACGGAGATGTTTTTGAAACCAAAAGCGGGTGAAGGGTTTTTTGGAGTCATCTAAAAATAGAGCTTCGTGGGGGGATTTAGCCTGAGAATTTCTAAGATGGAGGTACTCGAGGATGGACTGGTATGATTGGATTGGAGAAGAGAGGTTGAAAATGTAAATGAAATGGCCTTTCTGTCTTGCTTTGTTTGATTAAGAAAGAAATTGTTTCGCTATCGAGTACGGTTAAATCTGAGACGGTGGGGTTGACTTTTGGAGCGAATTTGGAAGAGATGGTGAGTTCCGAGCATCTAAGGAACCTAAAAAAGGCTAGAATGAACATATCGTCGAGTGTGCGGGCAGTACTGAAAGGCTGGTAACCTGTACGGAGGGTGTGGATACATTTGTGAGAATGTCTAATGTTAGGGGTTGTCTGGCATCAGGACGGGTGGGCTGGGATCGTTAGATTCCCCTGATTAGGAGGGAGGTTTGTGAATTGTTTATTTCAGGAGAGGGAGCACCGTACATCAGCTTGTGGAAAAATTGTACGCTGCTCAGGTAGCCTTTGATGGACCCGACTTGGAGACCCTTAACGCTTTAAGGAAGGAGATGAACAAAGTGATTGAAAGTAGTGAAAAATCGGAGAACCATGTGTTATATGAAAGGTGGAATGCCTTAAAGCATCTCCACGCTGTCACGAACGACTGAAGGGTTCTGGGAGAAACTGCTTGGAGAATAGTGTCGAGCGATGCGTCGAGTAGGGGTCTTAATGGGTGAGTTACGGGAATATTAATTCTGAATAGTGAGGTATTGGAGTTGGGAATTGGTCCGCCTTTGGAGCCAGCGTCCTGAATTTCTGAAACAGAAAGCGAGACAAAGAGTCAGCGATTTGGTTTTCTGAACCGGGAATGTATTTAGCAATTATTATAAATTGGTCGCACGCTGAGATCCATATTAAGCATCTTAGAAGAGGCATGAGGGCGGGAGAATGAGAACGGCCTTTAGTAATGCACTGCACGGTTGCTTCGTTGTCGCAATGCACTAAGATGCTTTTAGAAGCCCATTCTTTTCCCCACAGGAAGGCTGCTACCACGAGGGGGTAAAGCTCGAAAAAAGTTGAGGACTGTGGAGTGCCTTGCAGCAGAGGGGGGCATGGGGACGCGAACCAACATCCTTGGTAAAAACCTGCGAAGCTGATTGAGGGAGCTGCGTCTGTAAACAGTTGGATGTCGACGGGAGACGAAACAAGGTTGTTATAGAAAACGGAAAGGCCGTTCCATTGTTTAAGGAACATTATCCATAACCTAAGTTCGTCGCGGCACACATGAGATATGGAAATGAGGTCCTTGAGCGCGTGAACCGAAGTTGCGAGTGAGAGGAGATGC